TGAGATCTAAGGATTGTGGTTCAAAGCCCAGTCCAGGCAGGAAAGACTGTGAGACTCCTATCTTCAATAAACCACCAGAAAACCAGAAGTGGTGCTGTAGCTCAAGTGATAGAGTGCTTGCCTTGAGCTGAAGACCTGAGGGACAGCGCCCAGGCCCAGAGTTCAAGCCCCACAACCGACAAAAAAAAAAAAAAAAGCTGAGATTCAAACCCAGTGCAGGAGGGTACACCTGTAGTTCTCATTATTGAGGAGACTGACTCTAGAAATTGCTCGAACATAGGAGTTTGAGACCAGCTGAGTAACACAGTGAGCCCCTCAGCCCCAATCAAACTTTAGGGTACTGAATTTAACGTAGTATGTTATACAGAATCTAATTCAGGTGAGAAACTTGGGTCTAGATGTATAATTGTAAGTCCATGGCAAATGTAATTGAAAATGAGAATTTGAAAGATCAGTCACCATTGGAGTATGATGAAGAAATACCCAAGAGCCAATCCCTGAGAGTTGAAGAGGTTTGGGAGAACAGTCAGCAAGGAAATTTGAGATGAGATTAGTCAAAAAGGAAGCCACCAGGAGACTGAACTCTAGAATTCAAGGATGCCACGTAAGGAAAATTGATTCAAGGGAGAAGGGTAGATTTGGGAAAACAAGCTTTGGTCATTGGTGACCTTGGCAATTTTGAACTTCCTGGAGTACTTGGCCTTTATTGAAGTGGGCTCCAGAGAGGAAGAACCAGAGGGAATGTGGCACCTTTTGGAAGACACTTGATGTGAAGACTAGAGGAAAAGGCTAGAGCCAGTGGAAATTGAGTGAGGGTTGTTGTTTTTGTTTTAGATGAGATGTAACAGTATATATCCTTCAAAATTTGGTATGGTTTCAGGGAATGAATGCTTTTGTGAACTTGCACGTTCAAAGCTTAAGCCCATGGGGCAAAACCCTCCAAACCTCTTAGAAACTTACATTATATTAAGAAGTTTCATGGTCTGATAATTAGACCACAAAGAATGAGAATTCCTAAGTGTCTTTAATTTTTCTTGTACGGAATAAACCCTAGTGCACGTCATTTTTTTGACATGTCATAATACTTATTTTACATTTAGTGCGCTGGGAAGGTGGCTCAGTGGTAGAGTGCTTGCCTTGCATGCGTGAGGCCCTGGGTTCGATTCTTCAGCACCACATAAGCAGAAAAAGCCAGAAGTGGTGCTGTGGCTCAAGTGGTAGAGGGCTAACCTTGAGCTGAAGAGCTGAGGGACAGTGCCCAGGCCCACAACCTACAAAAAAACAAACAAACAACCCCCCCCAAATACATTTAGTACTTTTTCAGCACTGTTCTACATGAATTTTATCTTTATACAATTCTATGTAATAGGTATTATTATCCCATTTTATAACTGTGGGAGGAGAAGGGAGGCACAGAGACATCTGGTAATTTGCCCAGAGTTACTCAGCTCAGAAATGACTCATGCAAGTGTTTCTATTAAATTTGGCCAGTACTGGGGATTGAATCCAGTTTTGTGCCTGCTGGAGCCATGTCCCCAGTCCTTCTTGTTTCTGAGGTAGGGCCTTGTTAACTTCTTCTGGGCTAGTCCAGCTTGAGACTATCCTGCCTCTGGATTCCAGCCCAGGAGCTGCACAACCACACAACCTCACCTGGCCTTTGCAAAAGTTTGTTTTAAGCTTTTTGTTGGTTGTGGTGCTTGAACTTGGTGCCTGAGTGCCATCCCTAAGCTCTTTTTCTCAAGGCTAGTGCTCCACCATTTTGAGCCACACCACCACCACCACCACCACCACTTCTCCTCCTCCTCCTCGTCGTTGTCATCGTCCTCCTCTTCATCGTCCTCGTCGTCTTTGTCCTCCTCCTTCTCTTCATCTTCTTCTTCGTCGTATTCTTTAAAAATTTTTTAAAATAATATAGGGTCTTATTATGTAGCCCATGATGGCTTTGGACTCAGCCATCCAGATGCTGGGATTACAATCCCAGTGTCCACCTCCATATCTTACTAGAACCAAGTTTTGAAGCCAGACAGTTGGACTCTAGACTGTTTATAACTACTACACTGCTTCTCTGTGTGTGTGTGTGTGTGTGTGTGTGTGTGTTGTATACTAAGATTTGAATTCAGCACTTTGTGCTTGCCAGGCAGGCACTCTGAACCAGATCCTTGACCGTTTTTTGCTTTGGCTTTTTTGGGGTCTTGCTTGTACCTGAGCTGGCCTATATCGTCATCCTCCGATTTATGTTTATTATGATAGCCAGGATGACAGATGTTTGCCACCATGTCCATCTTTTTCTGTTGAGATGGGCTTTTTCAATTATTTTTTCTGAACATGCCTAGAACTGGGATCCTTCTGACCTCACCTCTTATGTAGCTGGGATGACAAAACATATGCCACTTGCTTCCAGCTATTAGTTGAAATGGAATTTTATGAATCTTTTGGTCTGAGCTGGTCTTCAATTAAAATACTCTTCATCTCAGGCTTTCAATTTTCTAGGATTATAGACATGAGCCACTGGTGACTGGCTCCATATGGTTCTTTAATTATAGTTGTTAATAAAATGTGTGTGTGACCTGTCCCTAAGTGAGGTGAAGATGAGTGGAAAGTTTTTGAGAGAGAGAGAGAGAGAGAAAGAGAGAGAGAGAGAGAGAGAGAGAGAGAGAGAGAGAGAGAGAGAGTGTGTGTGTGTGTGTGTGGTATTGGGGTTTGAATTTAGAGCCTAGTGCTTGCTTTATCATTTGAGCTGCACTACCAGCTCTGGGAGCCTTTGACATTTTCATCTAAAATGTTGTGTAAGAGAAAAAGCAGTGTCTTCATGTACTTATCTTGAGCTGTAAAATGAATAAGTAATATTATAACGGCTTTTCTCCAATGACTTGAGCCATTGTCTAAAACTTGTGGACTGGCATATACCTCTACCTTTTCTGTTTTCTGCTGAAATAGCGAAGTTCCACCAGGAAGATGGGGACAGGAAGGAAAAAGCGGGGAAGGCTCTGTTGTGTGGAGAAAAACTTGTGGCAGTGCTCAGGATGGCTGAACACTGTGGGAAGAGAAGTGCTTGCAGTGAGTGGTGCGGAGAGAGACAGGGTGGCTAGATGGGCAGGTGGGTGGTTCAAGGAGATGAGAGCCCCTAAGAACTCTCCTCTTATTCCCCTCACCCTTCATCCTGGCAGGACGGTGGTGACAAGGAAGAGTGAACCAATGGCAAAGTGTTCACTAGAAGCTGTGGAATGGTTGCCCAGATACTGTGTTAAAACTCTGGGACAATACTTTTATGTAATTACTTTTTCTTTCTCTTTTCTTTTTCTCTTGACTTGGGTATCATTGATACCAAGTTTATATCCTATACTACGTTGTAACTGTCCAGTATCTTCAATGTAAATGTTCTATTGGAGGAAGTGATACAAAGACCAGATGTACGATCAACTTCTGCCCTTCCCCCACAGTAAAAGGAGCTCCCAGAGCCTCAGCAGTCCATACTCATTTATTTATTTTGCCTTGTTTACAGCAAGATAATTTCATTTCCCTTTCTTCAGTAAAAAAGGATAAAGATTGACCCTCTTCTCTTAATTAAGCATGAAACCAAACCGGACATTTAAGTGGGCACAGAACAGTGGCACATATAGGGCCTTGCGTTTTCCTTTATGAAGTCCTTGGGAACTGTACATGTGTTTTGTAGACTGCTTTGATTGAAAATATTTACACAGAAAATGAGCTGGTGGAATGAACACATTGGAATATGAATTTATCACCCCTAAATAAGTCTCAGTGTGTACAGCATCCAAGGACTCCTAGAGGCTGATTCTAAAGATAGGATTGGACTGGAAAGATGACTGCTGGGTTTTTCACATGACTTCTTCAGAGCACTTTTCTGGAATGGATTTTGCATTTATTTGTTTCATGTTCATTATTTACACAGGACTTCCCTGCACATGCTATAGCGAAAGCAAGCCAGTCTTGTTTTCTACTTTGTCCTCAGTGAAGAAAAATTGCTAGATGAGTGAATGGTTTTTAGATACGTTCTCAATCCATTAAAGTTCATAAAGTATTGATTACAAGAATGATTTTCTAGATGCACATGAGTAAAATGAAAACAGAGCAAAAACGATTTAACTGGTGGCTGTGTTGTGTTGATGTAGAAAGATAAAATGAAGCCGGCCCCCGTGGCTCATGCCTGTAATCCTAGCTACTCAGGAGGCTGAGATCTGAGGATCACCAGTCAAAACCAGCCTGGGCAGGAAAGTACTTGAGACTCTTATCTCCAATAAACTACCAGAAAACCAGAAGTGGCACTGTAGCTCAAGTGGTAGAGCGCTAGCCTTGAGCTGAAGAGCTGAGGGACAGTGCCCAGTCCCAGAGTTCAAGACCCACGACTGACAAAAGAAAAAAAAAAGATAAAATGGGAGCCCCACGTTTTCCTAAATACTATTTTCCTCCAAATCACCTGAGTCACAGCCAAAGCTTTATCCATGTTGATGATCTCAACCATTTTTTGTTTGTTTGTTTGGTGTCTTGAGTGACCAATGCCTGGCTCTCTCTCTCTCTCTCTCTCTCTCTGTGTGTGTGTGTGTGTGTCTTGAGGCTTGAACTCAGGGCCTGTGCACTATCCTCAACTTCAAGGCTAGTGCTCCACTTTGAGCCACTTTGAGCCACAGCTCTGCTTCTGGTTCTTAGGTAGTTACTTGGAGATCAAAGTCTCTCATGGACTTTCCTCCTTGACTGTCTTTGAACAGCCTAAAAAAAAATAAAGTAGAGAAGGCCTAATTATATCTCAGCTATAAATTGCTTTACAAAAAAGTCTGGGACATGCGTGACCAATATTAGGCTTTTAATATTTGTTCATGCTTTGTTTATATTATTCTCTAAAGCTTATATGTTGTGACTGTTTCATAACAAGTTTAAATATATAAAAACCTCGTGGTGGTGGTGACCGGCCCGCCCTTGCCCGCCACCCCCAGCCGCACCCTGAGGCTGCGCCGGTGCTGCCAAGCCCGCCCAGGCCCGAGCCACCCAGGCCAGGACGATGGTGAAGTGTTTCCTGGGCCAGAGCATGCTCCAAAGTTCCTGGAACCCGAACCCCTACCGCAACCATGTCTTGACAGAAGACAGAGTACACCGGGAGGTCACCCCTGACCAGCAGCTTCCGTCCCGGAGCCTCCTGACCAAGACCAACAGGATGCCCCGCTGGGCGGAGCGACTGTTCCTGCCAGTGTTGCTCACGCAGTGTACATCCTGGAGGACTCGATTGTGGACCCACAGAATCAGACCATGACCACCTTCACCTGGAACATCAACCACGCCCTGCTGATGTGTTTACTGTGTGAACCCCGACAGCAGCTGGACCGAAATCCGCCGGGAAGCCTGGGCCTCCTCCAGCTTGTTGGGCGTCTCCAGAGCCGTCCAGGAATTTGGTCTTGCCCGGTTCAAAAGCAACGTGCCCAAGACGATGAAGGGCTTTGAGTATATCCTGGCCAAGCTGCAAGGGAGGCCCCTTCCAGAACGCTCCCGGAGACCGCCAAGGAAGCCAAGGAGAAGGCAGCTGCAGAGAAAGCCAAGGATCTGGCTAACAAGGCCGCCGCCAAGCAGCAGCAAGCAGCAGCAGCAGCAGCAAAAGCAAGGCCGCCAGCAGCAGCAGCAGCAGCAGCAGCAAGCAGCAGCATCAGCAGCAGCAGCAGCAGCCGCCAACAAGGCCGCCTACAAGGCCGCCAGCAGCAGCAGCAGCAGCAGCACCAGCCGCCGCCTACAAGGCCGCCAGCAGCAGCAGCAGCAGCAAGCAGCAGCAGCAGCAGCAGCACCACCACCAGTCGCTGCCAACAAGGCCGCCTACAAGGCCGCCAGCAGCAGCAGCAGCAGCAAAAGCAAGGCCGCCAGCAGCAGCAAGCAGCAGCAGCAGCAGCAGCAGCAGCAGCAGCAGCAGCTGCTGCTGCTGCTTGTGTAGCTGCCTGCCCGCCCTCCCTCCCTGGCATTCCTCAGTAAAGATCACTTCAGTCCTCTGTGCTGTCTGGGTGGTGGGCCGGGCCGCCGGGGGACGCGCGCCCCCGCTTCTCCCTCCTGTGCCCCAGCCCCCAACAGCAGCCAGCACCTGACGGGCGCTCAATAAATAAATACCTTTGAATCCACTCGCCCCCTTTCCCCCAAAAAGTAAAATGTGTCCTGTGGATGTGGCTCAAATGGTATAAAACCCTAGTTAAAAACTGTAGTACAGCCAAAAAGAAAATAACTTTACTAAAAACAAAATGTGAATTAAAATGTTATTTGATGTGTTACAAATTCAGGAAATGATACTATATTTGTACTTTTACATAGAAGTGATATTTTCTTACCCCCAGTTACTAGTGAGTTTTAGAAAAATAAGTTATTTTTAAGCATCTGCTTTGTTTCCTTGTGAATTGTTATGAAAGGCATTCCATCTGGATATGATTTAATGTAATTTCATTTTATTGCTATGGCATTTCAAAGAATGGAATATTTCTTAAACATCTCTGTTTAGACAGATGTTTGACTTGTACATTTTAAACTTGGGATGTCAAATAATGGTAACATTTTTTGAGTTTAAGAATTTTTAAATCTCTTTTTGGTAAATGCAGTCAACCAAATTCTCCTTAATACAACTTGAGACTATACTAAAAGGGCAGACCAGGCCAGACCAGACAAGACCAGACTAGATAATCTTATTTAAAGGAAATACTTTTTTATTTATAAAGAAAATTCCTCTTTTATATCCTATTTTTTTCCTTTGAATTTATACCTGTTTTCTTCTTTTTTTAAGGACTGGGGATTAAACCCGTAGCTTTGTGTACATTAGACAGGTGTTTTTCCATTTAGCTACATTCTCTGCTTGGATTTTTCTTTTGCTTTTTTTTTTTTTTTTTGGGTCCGGTCCTGAACTCTGGGCCTGGGCACTGTCCCTCAGCTCTTCAGTTCAAAGCTAGCGCTCTACCAATTGAGCCACAGCGCCACTTCCGTCTTTTTTCTTTTTGCTTATGTGATGTTGAGGAATCGAACCCATGCATGCAAAGCAAGCGCTCTACCACTGAGCCACCTTCCCAGCCCTTGATTTTTCTTTTGAGCTCCTGAAAAACAAAACAAATTTTTATCAAAGGAAAGGTTCATATGAAAGTAGAATATGCAATCCTTCTTCTTTTTGTGTGTGCCAGTCCTGGGGCTTAAACTCAGGGCTTGGGCATTGTTCCCGGGTTTTTCTGTTCAAGGCTAAAGCTCTACCACTTGCCACAGCTCCACTTGTAGCTCTTTTGGTGATTAGAGAGCGATTAAGAGTCTCAGGGACTTACTTTCCATGCTGGCTTCAAACTGATCCTTATAGCTCAGCCTTCTGAGTAGATAGGATTACAAGTACGAGCCACTGGTGGTGGTCTTCAATCTTATTCTTTCTTTCTTTCTTTTTTTTTGTCAGTCATGGGGCCTGAACTCTGGGCCTGGGCGCTGTCCTTAGCTCTTCAGCTCAAGGCAAGTGCTCTACCTCACAACACTACCTAACTAATCATCACAAGAACATTTTGAGGTATATTTCTGAGGAAGACATTGTGCTCAGTTGTGCCAACTCTTTGTATTCTAGCTAACAAAACTTTTGGTGATGGTTGTTTTAAACTCTTAGAAGAAAATGTTCAGTATATTAGTGTTCTTAAAAAATAACAATTGCATTTGACATTTGTTAGTATGACTCAGAATTGAGGGTCTTTAGGATGCCTTACTTATTTTTTTGTGAGTTTTTCCCATGACGGAGAGTGGCAGGTTCTCTCCAGACAGTTACTACATTGTTTCTGGGCTGAAGCAGTCTTCTTTCAGCCTCTGAGTAGCTGAATGGACAGTTGTGCTTCGTCATTTGCCATTAGGCAACCTCCCTGTGACTTCGTGCCTTTGAATAGGTTACTGAGTCTTCCATTCTGTGGGCTGCTACTGAAAGTGCAGTAGAGCTGTCCCTTTTCCAGAGCCTACCATTGGCACCAAAATCTGTGGACGCTCAAGGCCTTTAATACAAAATTTGCTTATAACCTGTACTTATCTTTTTTTTTTTTTTTTTGCCAGTTGTGGGGCCTGAACTCTGGGCCTGGGCGCTGTTGCTCTTCAGCTCAAGGCTAGCACTCTACCACTTGAGCCACAACACCACTTCTGGCTTTTTCTGCTTATGTGGTGCTGAGGAATCAAACCCAGGGCCTCATGCATGTAAGGCAAGCACTCTACCACTGAGCCACCTTCCCAGCCCCTGTACTTATCTATCTGTGTACTTCAATCATGTCTAGACTTCTTATACCTAATACAATAGCAAATAGTTGCTGTACTATAATGTTCGGAGAAAATCCGAAATAACTCTATATGTGTGTATAGACTTCTTTGGGAGGGCAGTCCTGGCCCTTGAACTCAGGGCCTGAGCACTGTCCCTGAGATTTTGATGAGTTTTTTTTTTTTTGGGTCCGGTTGTGGGGCCTGAACTCTGGGCCTGGGCGCTGTCCCTCAGCTCTTCAGCTTAAGGCTAGCGCTCTACCACTTGAGCCACAGCGCCACTTCCGGCTTTTTTCTTTTTGCTTATGTGGTGCTGAGGAATCGAACCCAGGGCCTCAGGCATGCAAGGCACGCGCTCTACCACTGAGCCATCGTCCCATCCCCTGTCCCTGAGCTTTTGCGCAAGGCTAGCACTCTACCACTTGAGCCACAATGCCATCTCCAGCCTTTTCTGTGAGGCAAGCACTCTACCACTGAGCAGTATAGACTTTTTTTTTTTTTTTTTTGGGGTGGCTGGTTGAAGTTGTAGATATAGAAGCCATGGTTCCATATGTCATTATTTTTGTTTTTTCCTTGAAATTGCTTCTTTCTTAAAAAAAAAAAAGTGAGATTCCTTATGCTGTCTTCGTACATGGTTGCAATACATTTTAAAATTATTCACCCCCCAGAGCCGGGCGCTGGTGGCTCATGCCTGTAATCCTAGCTACTCAGGAGGCTGAGATCTGAGGATCGCGGTTCAAAGCCAGCCCGGGCAGGAGAGACCGTGAGACTCCTATCTCCAATAAAAACCGTGGCGCTGTAGCTCAAGTGGTAGAGCGCTCACCTTGAGCTGAAGAGCTGAGGGACAGCGCCCAAGCCCAGAGTTCAAGCCCCACGACTGACAAAAAAAAATTATTCACCCCGTCTTTTCTTTTCCATCTCCCTTCCCCTGATCTTCCTATATAGTCCTATAGTTAGTCATATTTGAATGTGTGTATACAGTTAGTATGCGTGTGTGTGTGTGTGTATGCTAGGATCTGGGCTTGAACTCAGGGCCTCACCCTCTTGCTTAGCTTTATTGCTCTAGGCTAGCACTCTACCACTTGTGCCACAACTTCACTTCACACTTTGTGGAAATTTATTGGAGATAAGAGTCTCATAAATTTCCTTCCTGAGCTAGCTTTGAACTATAATCTCAGATCTCAGCCTCCTGAGTAGCTTGGATGACAGGAGTGAGCCACCAGTGCCTGGCTTTCAAATCCCCCCCTTCCTCCCCCCCCTCTGGTCCTAGGGCCTGAACTCTGGGCCTGGGCGCTGTCCCTCAGCTCTTCAGCTCAAGGTGAGCGCTCTACCACTTGAACCACAGCGCCATTTCCAGTTTTCTAGTGGGTTATTGGAGATAAGAGTCTCACAGACTTTCCTGCCCAGGCAGGCTTTGAACCATGATCCTCAGATCTCAGCCTCCTGAGTAGATAGGATTACAGGCGTGAGCCACCTGGCTGAAATACCTTTTTTTTTTCTTTTGGGTCTGTCATGGGGCTTGAACTTAGGGCCTGGATGCTGTCCTTCAGCTCAAGGGGAGCGCTCTACCACTTGAGCCACAGTGTCACTTCCAGCTTTTTCTGGTTATGTGGTGTTGTGGAATTGAACCCAGGGCCTCATGCATGCAAGGCAAGCACTCTACCACTGAGCCATCTTCCCAGCCCCCTGGGAGACTCTTATCTCCAATAAACCATCAAAAAGCCACAAATGGGACTGTGGCTCAAGTGGTAGAGGACTAGCCTTGAGCAAAATGGAGCTCAAACTCAGGACTGGCACAACCCCCCCTCTTGCCAAACCGAGGGCTACATTTATACTGAGCTTATGACTTTTATAATAGTGTGGATGGAGGAACAGTGTATTTCAAGATGGATTCATTATATTAGAAATCATATGAAAAATTAAAAACAAACAGGGCTGGAGGCATGCCTTCAGTGGTAGAATGCCCACCTCATAAACGTGAGTCCCTGAGTTCAAACCCTAGTACAACAAAACACAAAACAAAACAAATGATTCTTTTTTTTTTTTTTGCTTATGTGGTGCTGAGGAATCGAACCCAGGGCCTCAGGCATGCAAGGCATGCGCTATACCATTGAGAAGTGGTAGGAATCTGACCTTCCTACATGGTCATGGAATTGAGGTGAGATTCTGCAGGTGAAGTCAGGGGACACCGTGCTTGCCAGTCTTACATGGGGAATTATGAGTAGGGATGTGGCAATCACTAAAGATTTGGGAACACAGGAGGAGGTGCTGATTTTAGAAAGATGATAAATAGAACTTTTGTTACTCGACAGATGGCCACATGTTAGCTGTGGGAAGGCGAAGGCTGAAGACACTGGGAGTGGGGT